AATTTACTGTATTCTTACCTTTACCAATATGTTTTATTTTTTCATATGTTTTCATGTCAGTAGTTAGCATCCTTTCATTTCAGCTTGAGGAACTACTTTATGGCAGATCTAGTGATGATTAACTTCCTCAGACTTTGTCAGGGAAATTCTTTATCTCTCCTTCACTTCTGAACGACAGCTTTCCTGAGTAAAGTATTTTGGTTTTCTTCTTTCAGCACTTTGATTTTTCATTCTTACTCTGTCCTGGCCTGCAAGGTTTGTGCTGAGAATGACACCAATAGCCTTATGGAGTTTACCTAGTGAGATTTTTTTTTCTTTTAATATTTTCTCTTTGATTTGAGACTGTTTCATTATAATGTATTTGTAGAAGATATCTTTGGGTTGAATCTGTCTGGGGACCGATGAGCTTCATAAACTTGGCTGCCTATATCTCTTTCCAGATACAGGATGTTCTCAGGCTGGCTGGCTTTCTTTCTTTTCTTTCTTTTTCTTTCTTTCTTTCTCTTTTTCTTTCTTTTTCTTTCTTTCTTTCTTTCTTTCTTTCTTTCTTTCTTTCTTTCTTTCTTTCTTTCTTTCTTTCTCTTTCTTTTCTTTCTCTTCTTTTTTAAGATTTTTATTTATTTATTTGTCAGAGGGAGAGTGTACAAGCAGGGGGAGCGGCAGGCAGAGGGAGAAGCAGGCTCCCCACTAAGCAAGGAGCCAGATGCAGGACTCGATTCCAGGACCCTGAGATCATGACCTGAGCCCAAGGCAGCCACTTAATTGACTGAGCTACCCAGGCATCCCCTCAGTCATTATTCCTTTAAATAAGTTTTCTGCCCCTTTCTTGCTCTCTTTTCCTTCTGGTATTTCCAAAAATGCAGAAATTGTTTCAGTTGATGATATTTCATAATCCATGCAGTCTTTCTCCACTCTTTTTCATTCTTTTTGTTGTTTTTGATCTCTGAATACATAATTTTAAGTGATTTATCTTCGAGTTGAGATTCTTTTTTTTTAATAAGATTTTATTTATTTGTTTATTTGACAGAGAGAGACACAGCAAGAGAGGGAACACAAGCAGGAGAAGTGGGAGAGGGAGAAGCAGGCTCCCCGCTGAGCAGGGAGCCCGATGCGGGGCTTGATCCCAGGACCCTGGGATCATGACCTGAGCCGAAGGCAGACGCTTAACGACTGAGCCACCCAGGCGCCCAGCTCACAATCTTTTAATGGCTCCTTATTACATAATAAAAGCCGAAGTCTTTATAATGGACCTGATTGTGTCTCCCACAACTTCTGTGATTTCACTACCTCTCCTTCCACTATCTCTGTAACTTGCTGTACCCAGCCGTATTGGTCTCCCTCCTCTCCCCAGAACAAACCAGGCATGTTCTGCCTTAGGGCCTTTGCGGGCCTAAGATTCTTTCTTTCTTTCTTTTTTTTTTATCAAGTCAGTTGTTGATGTTCATTATTGCAATTTTCATTTCATTGTGTTCTTCAGCTCCAGAATTTCTGTTTAGTTCTTTTTTTGTGATTTCTGTCTCTCTGTTAAACTTCCCATTTTGTTCACGTGTTGTTTTTCTGAATTTATTGAAATGTTTTTCTTTGTTTCTCTGTAGGTTACTGAGCTTCCTTAAAGCAACTATTTTGAATTTTGTCTTATTCAGATCATAGATCTCCATTTCTTTTGGGTTAGTTACTGAAAAATTATTGTGTTCTTTTGGTGGTTTCATATTTCCTTGATTTTTCATGTTCCTTGAAGTGTTGGATTACTGTCTTGGCATTTGAAGAAATGGTAACCTCCTCTAGTCTTTACTGTTTGGCTTTGGGAGAGAAATAATTTCTGTCAGCCTGTCTAGGGATTCTGAGATTTCCTCAGACCTTTTCTATGGGTATGCCTGCTCCACACTTCTTGTTCCCTTTATGTGTGTGTGTGTGTGTCATTCTTAAGATTATATGCCTTCGTTTTGCAAAGCTAGACCTACTGCTAACTGACAGCTTCAGCTTTACTTTGCCTAGGATAGTGGTAAATGTTCAAGTTTGTTTGATTTTTCACAATCTTGCAGAGTTGGGCCAGTTTTCTGTGTGTGTCCATGAACCCTCTGCCAATGCTTGCACTTGCCACTCTCATGGGCACACACAGGGAACTGACCCCAAGGTGTGTGTATGTGGGGGGGCAGGTTATGCGGGTGAGGTGTAGAGAGCATTAGGGATGCCTGTGGGCTAGCTGGGGGAATCTGCAGGCAAGACCTCTCGAGTGGTTTGTGGTGGCCTTTGTAATGAAGTCCACAAAGCAGTTAAGTACATTCCACGTCTCTGTGATGCACTCTAAGTCTTGCTTGCTATGCTCCTATTCTCTCCTCACCCTCAGGTGTGCAGCTTACCTCAGTATTCCAGATGGGGTAAGAAAAAGTGGGCCTCTTTGGCAGTGTCTCACACAGCTGGGGAAGCTGGGCACTCACTCACAAGCTCTCACTTTCTGCTGTGGGAGAAATTGCAGACCAACGTGCTCCTCTTGGTACTAAGCTATGCCACCCTGTGGGAACCAAGACACAGATAACGTAAAACTATTTCTCTTACTTTCTTCAATGGAATGGATTTCTTCAAATCCAATCTTGAATTTTTTTTTCTTTCTTCAAGGATGTGCTAGAACTTCTCCACTGGACTGTTGGACTCCCATAACGGATACTCTCATTCACCAGTGTTGTCAAAATCAGGGTTCTTTGAGGGGAAGATGTTAGAAAACTACTACTCCTATAGTCTATTACATTGAAAGGTTTTTGTATGTAGAACCATCCCTGCACTCTGGGAATAAATCTCACTTGGTCATGATATATAAACTTTTTCTTTTTTTTTGAAACATGTTATCATATTAGAACACCATGGGTTTTTTTTTTTTGGATCTATAAATCTTTTAATACATGCTGATTTAGTTTGCTAGTATTTGGTGGGTGATATTTGGATCTTACTATTTTAATGGGAGGAAGGAATGCAACATATGGAAGAACAAAAATTTAACTTAGAAAAATTGGAGGAACAGAGATTTTACATGTGGTTATTTTCATATTTTAAAAACATTAAGACTTGACATTGCACACTTGTGACAAATATAATTAAATATTTTACAAATATGATAGAACAATTTGAGTTGTACTTTCCCTCAAAAGAAGATTGCTGAATAGGAAAATGATAGATCTAGAACCCATTTCTTTTATTGAAAGATATTTAAAATTTTAATTATTATTGCATGGGATAAACTGTTGGACCTAGCCACTTACGAGGTTTGAATATGAATTTTGAAAATACATCATCAGTTCATTTTGGGTAAAGGTCAAGAATGAACCGTAAATTTACTGAAGTTGCTTTAAAATCTATTCTTCCATTTCCATTAACATACCTCCATGAGATAGTTTTCCTACCATGAGAACTTAGAACTAGTTTAGACATAAATTTTCCTGTTAAGTAGAGCTTTTATCAATCCAACCTACTTTAGATAAATGACCAAACAAGAAACAATATCATTTGTCACACTGAAAGCTTTAAATATTTATATTCAATGTATTCATTCAAAGTGTGCTTACAGGCATTTAATAAGAATAGAATTTCGCTCATATCTTTGCTTTAGTTACAATTGTAGAACAAAAATTTAGTGTAATATCCACTCACTGTAATAAATGCTAATTGGTAGTTTTTCTCTAAGCAAAGTGTACAATTTCTTAAATTACTTTCTGTTCTGATTGTTCATTGAAATGTAATTTTATGTCTGTTGAATTTCACATTTAAAAAATGAAATAGCGTTTTGTACAATTTTTTCCACTTTAATCTACGTGTAATTTATTTTTAATCTTAATTTTGTTAAGTATCAGTGACCGATGGATTAAAAGAAAGCTGGTCCTTCATCGTGGAAAGTAGCACTGGTCTAAATACCTAAAGTGTGCTCTTCCAGAGCAGACTGCATTTAATTCAAATTTGCCTGACAGTGGGCCTTAGACAATTATTAATTAAATGAATGAATTTTCAATACTCGACCTTAGGCCCACACCTTTTTTTTTTAAACATTTCATTTATTTGACAGAGAGAGACACAGCGAGAGAGGGAACACAAACAGGGGGAGTGGGAGAGGGAGAAGCAGGCTTCCCACTGAGTAGGGAAGCCGATGCGGGGCTCGATTCTAGGACCGTCGGATCATGACCTGAGCTGAAGGCAGACGCTTAAGGACTGAGCCACCCAGGCGCTCCTTAGGCCGACACCCTTAATCAGATGTCTGTTACAGTCCCTCAATGATTACAGTTGCAGATATATATATATATATATTTATTTATTTATGATTTTATTTATTTGAGAGAGAGAGTGAGAAAGAGTGCACGAGAGGGGGTAGGGTCAGAGGGAGAAGCAGACTCCCCACTGAGCAGGGAGTCCGAAGCGGGACTCCACGCCGGGACTCCCGGATTGTGACCTGAGCCGAAGGCAGTCGCTTAACCAACTGAGCCACACAGGCGCCCTACAGTTGCATACATTTTTAAAAGTGTATTAAATGCTAGGACCTGCGTAAGCGCTTTCCCTTTCGCCTATTTCACTCACGTTTTCCTTCCTTCCCGGGAGAGGGCGTGCCCAGCACCACGACCCGCCCTATCTGTGCATTCGTTGGCCAAACCCAACGGCCGTTACTGCCGAGTCCCGCCCAAACCACGCCCCCACGCAGCCGCAGGGCCGAGAGAAGGCGTGGCTATTGTGCCGATGGACGATTCAGACGGTCTCCTCTCGTGAGCATCGGGACGTGCCGGAGGACCCGCTTGGTGCGGGTGGGAGCGCGCTCCGGCGCGAGAGGCCCGTGGTCGCTGCGGGCGCACGCCCTGCCCCGCCCCCTCTCCGGCACGCAGGCTCCGCTCGAGCTTGAGCACGCGCGCGCGCTCCCGTTCAAGCCTCAGTCTGACCAGCGGCGGCCGGGCGGATGGAGGCTGGGCCCCCGAGGTACGAGGGGAGGGGCCGGACCTGCTGCAGCTGCCACCGCCACCGCCCCGCCGCCGCCGCCGCCGCTGCTGCTGGAGAGAAGCATGTCTGCAACTCGAGCCAAGAAAGTGAAGATGGCCACCAAATCGTGCCCCGAGTGCGACCAACAGGTGGGTGCGGGGGGCCGGGCCCGGGGGCCGGCGGGCGGACGGGCGGCCGTTGTCGGCGGCCCTTGGCTGTGGAGAGGCCGCCTCGCCGGGTGGTCTGGCCCTTGGGCTCGGTGGCCACGGTGGGAGCCCGGTGGGAGGCCGGGCTGCGCCGAGGGGATGCCAGGGAGACTCCCGGGGTCGCAGTCCGGCCGGTGCCCACCTGGCGGCGTTAGCCGGGCGACTGTGTGTGTCCCGCGGCCCGTGGCGCGGGAGGGAGGCGTGGGTTTGTCTGGAGCGGACGGGGCGCCCTGTCCGAACCCTCCCAGAGTCGCCTGGCTGGCTTTGGGTGACAGCGGCGGGAGTGTGGCGGCAGTGGTCTAAGTGGACGAGCACGGCCCCTTCAGCCCCCTTCTGCCCCGACGAGAATGCCCAATGTGCCCGGCTCCGAGTCCAGGCTCCTGGCTCCTGGCTGCGAAAGCCGCTCCTGCGACGCAGGGTTGCTTTGTTCCCATCAGATCTCTACTGTGACAAAAAGGGCCGCAGCGATTATGACATTTTCCTTTTAGATGTCAATAAATTGTGATCTTAATATGTCTTTTATACTTTATATAAATCATTACTTTGTTCTAAATTTTTGATAGAATACCACTGAAAAGCCCTACTTTTCTAGGCACTCCCCTCTTAAAATGGTATGTATTTGTCTAAGTTTTTAAAAAGATGAGTTTGCCATTCCTACCCGTGTGTGGTTTCTTGAATTTTTAATATCAGCTTTATAAACTAATTTCGTGAGGTCATTCAGTGGCTTTATGACCACCAGTGGTCTAGGGTTCAGCTAGACATTCAGGCCTACCCTGGGCCCAGATGCAAACACTGCATGTAATCAGAACAGCATCAGAATTGTGGTCAGTAAGGATCCTCACAGCATACTAGGGGCTTTCTCTGCCTCCCCAGATGACAGCTCAGATGTGAAAACAAAACGGTGGAGTGGTTCCAAGACTTAACCATGGCTTAGAAATTTCATGTTTCTTAGCCCAGGAGTAAGGCCTTTGCTTCCAAGGTTTTGCAGGGAATGGCATGATTATATTTTTTGTACTTAGGGAAGCCTAAAACTGTGGCTTCTCACCTCATGCCTTCCAGTCCAGATGCCAATTACGGGCCATTTTTACCATAAGCAATATTGTCTAATAATATTATTTGATTGGGTTGCCAGGGTCAGAGTACTAGACTTAACCAAAGGTCTTTTTTTCCTCAGGAAGGACTTTTGTTAACCCTTTACTAACATGTCATAATCCCTTGAAAAAAAAATTTTTTTTTAAGATTTTATTTATTTATTTGACAGAGACAGAGATAGCAAGAGCAGGAACACAAGCAGGGGGAGTGGGAGAGGGAGAAGAAGGCTTCCCGCTGAGCAGGGAGCCCGATGTGGGACCCTGGGATCATGACCTGAGCTGAAGGCAGACGCTTAATGACTGAGCCACCCAGGCGCCCCCCGTTGAAAATTTTTTAACTGTTTCCTTGCTCTATAAAATTTGGTCATTCTTAACTAGAAAAGGTAGAATTCATTTGAAACTCCTTCAATTAAAACCATCTGTAAGACATCTTTTATGCCATAATGCAGTGTCTATCTTTTGAAAATAATTACCTCTTTTTACTTTCCCTCCCTTAGTTAAGAGAAATTTACTGCCTCCTCTAAACATTTCACTCAGAAGTGTGTGTAGTTTTCATTGTACAGATTTTGTACATATTTTGTAAATATACCCCTATGAATTCAATTTTTTGGATGCTATTGTGAGTGGAATTGTTTTTCATTTTATCAGTGTTCTTTATGTATAGAAATACAATTGATTTTTTTTCATTGTGGTAAAAATAAAATTCACCATTTAAACCATGTTAAAGGGTCCATTTCAGTGGCATTAATATATTTACAGTGTTGTACAACCATCACAACTATCTAATTCCAGAATATTTTTATCACTCTGAAGTGAGACCTTGTTTCCATTAAGCAGTCACTCTCAGTGCCACCCTCTTTCCAGCCCCTAGCAACCACTAATTTGCTTTTTGTCTCCGCCTTCATAGAATTGAATGGAGTTCAGGCCTTACTCTGAATTAGGCTTTGGCTTAAGGGAATGTTGTGGCTTGTTTGATCTTTTTTTATCCAGACCACTAAAATTTTCTGCATATCAACTATAAGGCTGTTTCACTTTCTTATCATTCGTGTGTTCACTGGAGTAGCACCATTTCCTTCAAGAAATTTTCCTTTGCATTTATAATTTGGTTGTTTGGCTCAAGAGGCCTAACTTTCGGCCTTTCTTGGCTTTTGACATGCCTTTTGTATTGAGCTTAATCATTTCTAGCTTTGGATTTAAAATGAGAGATGTGTGCCCTTTCCTTTAACTTGAATACTTAAAGGCCATTGTAGGGTTATTAAGTTGCCTAATTTCAATATTGCTGTGTCTTAGGGTACAGGGAGGCCTGAGGAGAGGGAGATAGATGGGGGGAATGGCCAATTGGTAGAGCATTCAGAACACATACATTTATTGATTAAGTTTGCTGTCTTGTATGGGTGTAGTTTCATGGCACTCCAAAACAATTAAAATGGTAACATCAAAGATCACTGATCACAGATTACCATAACAAAGATAATAATGAAAAAGTTTGAAATATTTCAAAAATTACCACAATATGACAAAGACACGAAGTGAGCAAATGCTATTGGAAAAATGGTGCTGACTACTGGGTATTTACCCCAAAGACACAGATGTAGTGAAAAGAAGGGCCACATGCACCCCATTGTTCATAGCAGCAATGTCCACAATAGCCAAACTGTGGAAAGAGCCGAGATGCCCTTCAACAGATGAATGGATAAAGATGTGGTCCATATATACAATGGAATATTACTCAGCCATCAGAAAGGATGAATACCTAACTTTTGCATCAACATAGATGGGACTGGAGGTGATTATGCTAAGTGAAATAAGTCAAGCAGAGAAAGTCAGTTATCATGTGGTTTCACTTATTTGTGGAACATAAGGAATAGCATGGAGGACTTAGGAGAAGGAAGGGAAATATGAAGGGGGCGGAAATCGGAGGGGGAGACGAACCATGAGAGACTATGGACTCTGAGAAACAAACTGAGGGTTTTAGAGGAGAGGAGGGTGGGGGGATGGGTTGGCCTGGTGATGGATATTAAGGAGGGCACGTATTACGTATTATATGGAGCACTGGGTGTTATATGCAAACAAGGAATCATGGAATGCTACATCAAAAACTAATGATGTACTGTATGGTGACTAACATAACATAATAATAAAAAAATCATAACAAGAAAAAGGAAAAATGGTGCTGATAGACTTCCTCCACGCAGAGTTGCCACAAACCTTCAATATGTAAAACTCAGAGTATCTGTGAAGCACAATAAAGCAAAGTGTACTAAAATAAGGTATTCTGTAATTGTCTTCTCTCTCTTTTTTTGTCTCTAGCAAAAGGCTTGTCAATTTTTAAAAATTTTTATTTATTTATTTATTCATGAGCGACAGAGAGAGAGAGGCAGAGGGAGAAGCAGGCTCCCCGTGGAGCAGGGAGCCAGATGCGAGACTCGATCCCAGCATTCTGGGATCGTGACCTGAGCCGAAGGCATACGCTTAACTGACTGAGCCACCCAGGCGCCCAAGGCTTGTCAATTTTGTTCATCTTTTTTTTTTTAATTTTTAATTTTGTTTTATTTTTATTTTTTTAAAGATTTTATTTATATGACAGAGAGAAACACAGCGAGAGAGGAAACACAAGCAGGGGGAGCGGGAGAAGCAGGCTCCCTGCTGAGCAGGGAGCCCGATGCAGGGCTCGATCCCAGGACCCTGGGACCATGACCTGAGCCGAGGGCAGACGCTTAACGACTGAGCCACCCAGGTGCACCTTTTTTAATTTTTAAGATTTTATTTATTTGACAGAGAGACACAGCGAGAGAGGGAACACAAGCATGGGGAGTGGGAGAGGGAGAAGCAGGCTTCCCGGCGAGCAGGGAGCCCGATGTGGGGCTCCATCCCAGGACCCCAGGATCACGACCTGAGCCAAAGGCAGACACTTAACCGACTGAGCCACCCAGGCGCCCCAATTTTGTTCATCTTTTTTAAAGAAGCCAACTTTCGTTTCATTGATTTTCTTTATTGGTTCTCCTTTCTCTATTTTATCTCTAGTCTTTATTATTTCCCTCTTTATGTTGGCGTGGGTTTAGTTTGCTCTTTTTCTAATTCTTTAAGTTGTAAAGTTAGATTGTTGATTTGAGATCTTCTTTCTTAATGTAAGCTTTTACAGGTCTATAACTTTCCTCCTTAGCATTGCTTTCACTGTGTCCTATGAGTTTTGGTAGGTTGTATTTTTGTTTTCATTCATCTCTAAGTATTTTCTAATTTTCCTTATGATTTCTTTTTTCTTTTTTTAAGATTTTATTTATTTATTTGACAGAGAGACAGCGAGTGAGGGAATACAAGCAGGGGGAATGGAAGAGGGAGAAGCAGGCTTCGCAGCGAGCAGGGACCCCGATGTGGGGCTCAATCCCAGGACCCTGGAATCATGACCTGAGCCGAAGGCAGACGCTTAACGACTGAGCCACCCAGGTGCCCCTTATGATTTCTTTTTTAATCCATTGGTTATTTCAGAGTATGTTGTTTAATTTCTAAAATTTTTTGAATTTTCTAGTTTTCCTTTCTGTTGTTGGTTTCTAACTTTGTCATGTTGTGGTTGGAAAAGTTACTTTGATATCTGTCTTAAAAAATGAACTTGGGGCACCTGGGTGGCACAGTCGATTAAGCATCCGACTCTTGGTTTTGGCTCAGGTCGTGATCTCAGGGTCGTGAGATTGAGCCCCATGTCAGGCTCTGCGCTTAGCGTCAGGCCCTGTGCTCAGCGTAGAGTCTGCTTAGGTTTCTTTCTCTCTCTCTCTCTCTCTCCCTTTTCCTCTGCCCTTTCCCCCTGCTCTCTTTCTCTCAAATAAATAATTCTTTAAAAAAATGAACTTTAATTCTTACCTGTGCCATATACAAATAATATTGCAAGGTGGATTATAGACCTACATGAAAAATTCTAAATTATGAAACTTCCAGAAAATACTAAAAAAATCTTTGTGAACTTAGGCAATTGTTTGGTGTTATAACACCAAAAGCATGGCCCATAAAAGAAAAAAGTGATAAATTGGATCTAATCAAAATTAAAACTTCTGTTCTTTGAAAATCACTGTTTAGAAAAAGGAAAGAAGACACAAACAAATAACCTTTGCAAAGCATATATGTACTAGAGGACTTGTATCCAGAATGTATAAAGGGCTCTTAAAGGTTAATAATAAGAAAACAAACAACTCAATTAAAAAATAGGCAAAAATTTGAATAGACACTTCACCAGAGTAGACTTACAGACAACACATAAGCTTATAGAAAAATGCTCAACATCATTAGTTATTAGGGATATGCATATTACCATAGTGAGACCCTACTAGAATAACTAAAGTTAAAAAGAACATACCAAATATCGATGAGGATGTGGAGGGACATCTCTTTGGGAAATAGTTTGGCAGTTTTCTCAAAAAGTTAAACCTACCATATGATCCAGCCATTTCCACTTTTAGCTATTTATTCAAGAGAAAAGAATGTGTGTGTATATATATATACAAAGACTTCTGCATGAAAGTTCATAGTAGCTTTATTTGTAATAGCTAAAACTAGAAAACAGTCAACATGTACAGATGAACTGTGATGTATCTTCACATGGAATAATATTCAGCAATAAAAAGAAAGAACTTGTTATCTGCAAAAACATGGACAAATCTCAAAATAATTATGCTAAATGAAAGAAGCTAAACAAAGAGCATGTACTTACGATTCCATTTACATAAAACTCTAGAAAATTCAAACTGATCTGTAGTGGCAGAAAGCTGATCAGTAGTTGCTTGGGGATATTGAGGGGGACCCTAAGGAGAGGTAGGTGGGTAGATTACAAAGGTATATGAGGAAATTCAGGGATGATGGATATATTCACTATCTTGATGCAAATCTACCTTCAAGTAACTTATTGCTTAGCTGAAGAGACAACATAAACACTTCAGAAGTTTAATAAACAGTAAAATAGTAATATATTTTTTTCCTTTTTTCCCCCTCCAGGTTCCTGTTGCATGTAAATCTTGTCCCTGTGGTTATGTATTTATTAATAGGAAACTTCTAAAAGTAAAACACTCAGAGAAATCATCACCTTTTACAGGTAATTGAGAGAGTTTACCACCTTTCTGTTTTTTTTATGGTTTCTATTATATAAACTTAAAATTAATTTTTTGTGAGTTAAATTTTTTTTTTGCTGATGAATTGTAATACTAAAATCTATTGAAGTGTATCTTTGTTTTTTATTGGATACAATAAGTCATTTACATTGATCTTCATCCAATTTAAATGTTAACTCCTTTACTGATAAATTTTGTAACAAATTTTAAGGAGAAATTTTAATTAGAAAATGTTAATTGGAAGAAAGGGAACCTCGACTTTAGTATTACAATTTTTTTAAGTACCAGTTATTTTTTTGATTCACTGATTTAGACTATCTAAAAAATTGCCCACTTCAATTTTGTTTGAGTTTCTAACTTTACTCCTATTTTTTCCTGTGATAAAATCACATGTTGTAACAGTAGTCAACCCAAAATGGTAGTAGTTTTATTACAAACAATTATTGAGTGCCTAACATATGCCAGGTATTATGTATCTTGGGCATACAGCAATAAATCTACTTCCAAGACAGGTTCAGTACTGTCAAAGTGGTTGAAGGTATATGCATAGGAATACACATACGGGATATACAGGGAAAATATCAGCTAGTAATAAGTGCTGGGTAGGAAATTAAAATAGGATACTGTCCTATAGGTTAACTGGAAGGCTTCTTTTGATTGAGTGGTCCAGGGAATGCGTCTCTGAGGAGGAGATATTTTATAACTTCTGAATGGATGAAGGGGCTAGACATATGAAAACCAGGGAAAGTAAATTCTAGGCACAGGGAATTTGAAGAGTACTTTTTTTTAACTTTAAGAAGTATATATCTTAGCATTAAAGGCTAGTATCTTATTTAAATGGGGAAATGCTACAGGCATTTCCATTCATATCAGGAACAAGGCAAGCATCCTCAGTATCTTCACTACTATTCAGTGTTATGTTAGAGGTAAATTAGTCAAGGCAATTAGATAAGAGAAATCAGTAAGAGGCATAAAAATGGGTAAAGAACAAGTAGAACAATATCTCTTTGCAGATCATAGTATAGCTGGACTCCAGAGAATTAATAATAAAACTAACTTGTACAGTAAAATAATTGAAGTATTGGGATTTAAAATTAACATACAAAAATCAGCTTTCATATATAGAAATAGCTTATACTGAACATAATGTTAGAGAAAAGCCCATTTACAATAGCAACATGGAGGGTTAAATGTTTAAGAATAAATTTAATAAGAATGGCCTAAAACCTATACAAGGAAAATTTTAAACACTCCTAAAAGACAATAAAGCAGATGTAAGCAAATGGTAAAGCATCCCTTGTTCTTGAATAGGATGATTCAACATCATAAAGATGTTAATCCTCCCAAGTTAATTTGTAAAATCAATGCAATTTTAATAAAAATCCTAACAGGTTGTTTTATTGAGTTAGGCTGATTTTAAGGTTCATATGGAAAATTAAACATGCAAAAATAGCCGGAAAAGTTGTCAATTGACTTTTAGTGAAGGTCTAAGGAAATTAAATGGGAAAGAATAGTCTTTTCAACAAATGTTATTGGGATACCATGCTGGATATGCAAAAGAATGAAGTTGGGACCCTATCTCATGCCATACATAAAAATTAATTCAAAATATGGGGTCCCTGGGTGGCTCAGTTGGTTAAGCATCCAAGTCATGATTTTGGGTCAGGTCATGATATCAGGGTTGTGGGATCAAGCCCCGTGTTGGGCTCAACATGGAGTCTGCTTCTTCCTCTTCCTCTGCTCCTCCCCTGGCTCATGCACTCTCTCTCACTCTATATCTCTAAGATAGATTTTTAAAAAATCTTAAAAAAATTAATTCAAAATAGATCATAAACCTAAGTGTAAGAGCTAATAAAACTATAAAACTCTTAGAGGAAAGCGTAACAGTAAATCTTAGTTACTTTGGGTTAGGCAGTGTTTTCTCAAAGATGACACCCAAAGCTCAAATGACATAAATAAATAAATAAATAAATAAATAGGGCTATATCAAAATTTAAAACTTTTTTTTTTTTTTTGCTGCAGATGATATCAAGACAACTCACAGAATGGGAAAAATATTTGCAAATCACATATCTGATAAGGGACTTGTGTCCTTAATATATAAAGAACTCTTACTCCTCAATGATAAAAAGAGAAATAACCCAATTTAAAAATTGGGCAGAGGATTTGAATGGAATTTGTCCAAAGAAGATATGCAAATGACCAGTAAGTACACCAAAAGATGTTCAACATTATTAGTCATTAGGGAAGTGCAGATCAAAATAATGAGATACTACTTCACACCACTAAGATGCAATAATAAGAGAAAATAATAAGTATTGGTGAGGAAGTGGAAAAGCTGAAACCCTCATATGCTGCTATTAGGAGTGTAAAATGGTGCAGACGCTTTCAAAACAATCTGCCATTTCCTCAGATGATTAAATATAGAGTTATATAATATGATCCACAATTCTACTCAAGGTATAAGTTCAAGACAGTTGAAAACAGAAGTGGACACAAAAACTTATACATGAAATGTTATTAGCAGCATTATTCTAATAGTTGAAAAGTGGAAACAGTCCTGATATCCATCAACTGATGATAATATTTGACAGTAAAAAGAAAGGAAGTATTGATATATGCTACAAAATGAATGACTCTTGAAAATGTGCTATGTGCAAGAAGCCAGTGACAAAAGATCACATACTTTATGATTCCAATTATAGAAAATGTCCACATAGGCAAATTTATAGATAATAAATAGATTAATGGTTTAGGGCTTGGAAAGGGATGGGGGGAGAATGGGAAACAATTGTTAATGGGTACAGAGTTTCTTTTGTAGAAAAACGTCCTAAAACTGGATTCACAATCCCGTGTGTGTACTAAAAACCACCGAATTGTACGTTTTAAATGGGTAAATTGTATGGGATGTGAATTATATCTCAATAAAACTGATTGTATTTTATTTATTTTTAAAGATTTATTTATTTATTTTAGAGAGAGAGCATGAGCAGGAGGGGTAGAGGGAGAGGGAGAGAGAATCTCAAGCATACTCCAAGCTGATCACAGAGCCCGACTTGGGGTTTGATCTCAGGACCCTGAGATCATGACCTGAGCCGAAACCAAGAGTTGGATGCTTAACCAACTGTGCCACCCGGGTGCCCCAATAAAACTGATTTTAGAAATAGCCAGGAAGGGCGCCTGGGTGGCTCAGTTGGTTAAGCGACTGCCTTCGGCTCAGGTCATGATCCTGGAGTCCCTGGATCGAGTCCCGCACTGGGCTCCCTGCTTGGCAGAGAGTCTGCTTCTCCCTCTGACCCTCCCCCTCTCATGTGCTCTCTCTCTCATTCTCTCTGTCTCAAATAAATAAATAAAATCTTTAAAAAAAAAAAAAAGAAATAGCCAGGAAAATACTGAAAAAGAGAAACTGCCAGGGTTGGATAGCCCTACCAGTCATTAAAATATATTATAAAGCCTCTGGGGTGCCTGGCTGGTTCAGTTGGTAGAGCATGCAACTCTTGATTTCAGGGTTGTGAGTTCAAGCCCCACACTGTATGTGGAGCCTACCTAATTAAGAGAATGAAAAAAAATGTGTATATATATATGTATATATGATAAAACCTCTATAATTAAAACATTGTGGCATTGGCAGGGACAAATAGACCAGTGGAAAAGAATAAAAAGTGCAGAATTAGACCCAAATTCATATGGAAAATTAGTATATGACAAAGGTGGTATTTCAGATCACTAGGGTAAAGTTAGACCTTTTTTTATTGTAAAATATATATAAATAACATATCATTTTAACCATTTATAGGTGTACAATTCAGTGGCGTTAAAAACATTCACAATACTGTGTCTTCATCACTGGTATTTTACTTAAAACTTTATCATCCCCAACATAAACCCTGTACCCATTAAACAGTCTCTTCCTCCCCACCCCTGCCCTGCCCCCAAACACCTCCCCCCAGTCCCTGGCCACTTTTCCTTCATATCTCTGTAAATGTGCCTATTCCAGGCACCTCATATATAAGTGGGACCATACAATATTTGTCCTGTGTCTGGCTTACTTTATTAAGCATAATGTTTTCAAGGTCTACTCATATTGTAGCATATATCAAAATTTCATTACTTTTTATGTCTGAATAATTACCATTTTATCTGTATGCCACGTTTTTTAATCCATTCATCTGCTAATGGGCAACAACTAGGGTTGTTGTAATGAACATTGGTGTATGGATATTTTGTTCAGACCCCTGGTGTCAGTTCTTTTGGATATATACCTAGGAGTAGAATTGCTGGGTCATATGATAGTTCTGTGTTTAACCTTTTGAGGAAATGCCAAACTGTTTTCCATAGTGGTTGTGCTGTTTTACATTCCCACAAGCAGTGCACAGGGGTTCCAATTTCTCATATTCCTACCAAAATTTGTTAGATTTTCCTTTTTTTTTTTTTCGGAGAGAAAAAGTGTGTAAGCAGCGGTTGGCGGATGTGGGGAGGGGCAGAGAGAGAGAATCTTAAGCAGGCTCCATGCTCAGCGAGGAGCCTGTCGCGGGGGTCTGTCTCATGACCCTGAGATCATGACCTGAGCCAAAAATCAAGAGTTGGATGCTTAACAGACTGAGCCACCCAGGTGCCCCTGATGTTTTTGTTTTTGTTTTTTTTTTTAATTGCCACCCTTGTAGGTGTAAACTGTTATCTTACTTCATATGCATTTCCCTAAAGACTAACAGTCTTAAGCATCTTTTCATGGGCTTATTGGCCATTTGTATATCTTCTCTGGAGAAATGTCTATTCAACTCCTTTGCCCATTTTTAATTGGGTTGTTTTGGTTGTTTGTTAAGCTGTAGAAGCTCTTTATATATTTTCAGTATTAATCCCTTGTCAGAATTATGATTTGCAAGTATTTTTTTGCCATTCTGTAGGTTGTCCTTTCACTTTTTTTTTTTAAAGATTTTATTTATTTGTCAGAGAGCACAAGCAGGGGAGCGGCAGGCAGAGGCAG